TACGAGACTGCCTATCCTACTGGAGCACCCCCTCCCCTCGAATCCAACCCCGCGTTAGTTTGCGTCAAGCTGTTCATGTGCTTCGGTGGGCGTTCCAAATGCATAACACATTGACGGTTAGACTGTGATAAGTTGTCTCAACCAGCACGCCTAACTGTCTTTCAGAAAGCGCCAGCTGAAAAGCTAGAATCGACCCCACTCGATGACGTTAACCAGTACTGGTCGCTTATCAAGAATGCTCTGCATTCTGTTGTAAACCAACAGTTGTGGTCTGACACGCCGTGCCGCGACACCCTAGATTTCTGCGGAATTTCTACGCTGCGACATACGCCGATCAATTCCGACCGGCAGCGAGCGTAACTAAATACGAGTCGTAACCTCAACGCAAGCTTACGCAGAGACCGCGAGATCCGGTGGAATGAACGCGCGTCAAAGGTGGAATGTGCTGCCGCCATGGGAAACTCCCATAAGCTGTTCCATCTCATCCGGGTCACCGGTAGGAAAGCCTTGGATGTGAGCGAAACGATCTGCGAAGCTGACGGTTTACCCATTCACAACTAACAGCGGCGTCTTGAACGCTGGGCGGAGCACTTCGAGTCACAGTTTAGCTGGCCACCAATGTCAGCTTTTCACAGCTATTCCGGCACACGTCTCATGGTCTGTCTCAACAGACCCCACTTCTGAGGCGGAAATCATTGAGGAGATTTAAGCCTTAGGACGTCACAAAGCGCCGGGCTCCGATGGCCTTCCCCTGCTCTATTTAAATATAGTGGAGTAAAGCTTGTTAGAGAACTACAAGTTCTGTTCTCTAAAGTTTGGAACAGTGAGCAGGTCCCCTCCTCGTGTGGGAACTCGATTATCGTCCCCATCTTCAAAAAGGTCCGCGCAATGACTGCGCCAATCATAGGGGTACAAGTCTAATCCCAATAGCGTCAAAGCTGTTGGCGTCCGTCATTCTCCGCCGACTGTACACTACGCGTGAGGAGCAGACCCACGAGGTTGGGTTTCGCTCCGGTCGTGGATGCATTGATCAAATCTTCCGACAGCTGCTAGAGCACCATCATGCTTGTCAAAGGCTAACAGTCATTGTATTCTTAGACATCCGCGCTGCCTGTCGATAGGACCGCACTATGGAGCTGTCTGTTGAGGAGTGGAGTACCTGAGGGGTATGTCTATCCTAAAACAGTTTTATCGTCATACCTCAGGTCGGGTTAGGGTCTATGGCCAGCTTTCGCTACCCTTCGCCGTCTCGAATGGAGTTGGACAAGGTTGCCGTATATCCCCATTCCTTTCCAACTTTGTTATAGAGGATGTCCTACGGAATGCCGTGTTCGGCCTTTCAAATGGTGGAGTTGAACCCCTTTGAGGGAACAGAGTTCGTTACTTAGGATATGCCGATGACATCACCCTGTTGAGTGACAATACACAAACAGTCCAACACGCCCTAAACCGCTTGGTGATCAAGGTATTCAGGTATGGTATATACTGTCAAAACGCAAAGTGCTTGTACAAGACTGGCAGGAGTCTGTGCCTACACTCACCCGATGAGGTGAGCAGCTGAAAGTAGTTTAGAAATTTAAGTACCTCGAGAGCTTAATCACAGCTGGAGGTGGCATTCGGGAGGAATCGTGTCACGAATAACGAAAGCTAGAGCAGCTTTCGCCAACCTGCGACACCTCTGGCGCCGCCATGACATCCGACTATCCCTTGAGGGAATGGTGTACATCGCTGCGGTTCGTGGTATTCTGCTTTACGGTTGCGAGACCTGACCCATCCTCTTTGAGAATGCTAATTGACTTTCTGTATTTGATCACCGATGTCTCCGAAGCATTGCTCATATCTGGTGAGAATGTAGGGCGAACAATGATGAGGCTCAACCTCGTTTGTTGGATGTGGATAGTCGTTCTGGGAAAGAAATAATCTCTCTACGTCACTTCTCATGACTTAGTCACGTTCTGTGTATGCCTCCCCATCATCTGTCTTTCTATGCTGTCTATACACGCGGTGGTTAAGGCTGAAAGAAGGGCCGTGGTGGTCGGACCATGAGCTGACTTAGAGGTATGAAGAGGCTAGTTTCAGCTTTGGCTTCGGCTGGTGCAGCCCGTCTTTTAAGTTGGGGCCCAAAGGATGGGTGTCGTTGGTTAGAAATGCTAAGTAATGTGATCCAGAGTACAGGTCAGTGGTGCAATGATGAGCGATCCACCTGTTAAAATCCCATGCTCCATGAAAAACCAACACAAAAAGCATCAAACAACAGTGAAACAAAAAATGTTGTTCTTTTTACCTTCATATCACTGTTTTGTATCTCAACCCATTCGTTCTCTCTCGCTCTATATACTCGAGTGATCTATGATTCGTTCACTCCCCGATGCTGATTGGCACCAACTGTTATTGTAATAGTTATTTCCAGAGGGTTCAGTTCAGTTCTTACAACCATTAACCATGCACTTTCGTGCGCCGGTTTTGGTTGCCCATTTGGATAAAACAGCAGAATGATGATCAAAATGTTGAGAGCAGATGTAAGCGGAAGGTAGCACATTTTCATAGACTGAAGTTACAAGAATAATGAGTAGATGCGTGAGCGCCACTGTTTGCGATACCCAGCTTTATCGCTCAGTGTCTCTAACCACCGGTGACCATGACCTCTGGGTCCCCGGCCAGGGAGCCTAACAGGACCTATGTGAGCCAGTCTTCTGATGGGGGCTTTCATACCTTCATACCAGGTCTTACCTTAACCACCCTTCATTTTTTTCCAACCGCTACTTGCCTCGCCAAGCATCGCTCGCCGTGGCAACCTATCTGGTGACATGCGTAGCACATGTCCCAATCAGCGTAATCTATGGAGGTGGACCACTTGCTCCAGTGGGCGACCGCGGATACCCAAAACTCTGCGTCTAACCTCAGCATTGCTCGTCCGGTTTCCCCACCAGACTCGTGCAATGCAACGTAGACAGCGGTGTTCGAACACCGACAGTCTATTTTTATCCTGTTCACGTAATGGCCAAGTCTCTGCGCCGTAAAGCAGAACTGGCCGAACTGCGGCAGCATATACTCGACCCTTCACAGACAACCGGATGTCGCGACGGCGCCACAGATGTCTCAAGTTGGCAAATGCCAACCGAGCTTTTCTGGCGCGCGCCGACACTTCATCTGTGATGCGTCCGCCGGGTGAGATATAGCTGCCTAGATAGCACGCCGACACTTCATTCGTGATGCGTCCACCGGGTGAGATGTAGCTGCCCAAACAACAAAACGTTCATCTGTGATGCATCTGCCAGGGTAGCAGTTTTTAACTGAATTATAGGAATGATACCTCGAAGAAAGTCAGGGGTTGTCAAGCTAAGACCTGGTGTGAGGGTATGAGAACCCTAACCAGGAGTTTGGGTCACATTGGTCCCATTAGGCTCCCTGGCTGGGGACTGGAATGACGGTCACCGATAGTTAGAGACACTGAGTGATATGGCCGTGTGTCGTAAACAGTGGCATTCTTGCATCTTGTCAATTTCTCTGCAACATTAGTCCACTGAACTTCTAAATTTTCTCTTGGATCCTACTTTAAACGTTTCCTGTCTTTCTGCTTATGTTCATTCAAATGGGCGACCAAAAGACAGCAACCAAAACCGGCGCACGATAGTGCATGGTTAATGGTTGTATAAACTGAAACCTCGAAGAAATTATTTCTTGCGTGCTATCGAACGGTCTGAAACGTGAGTCTATGGCTTCGTAGTTAATCAGTTTGAATGGCGCCAACATTGTTGTACTTCCACGCTCATCAATCAACAGTCATATGTTGACCACCGCTCCGTTCTTGATTAGTACTACGCACCAAACACTTGGCTGCGATCAGTTAAGTTCCCTTCACTGTGTTTCGCTGTACGATGATGATGATAATGCTGTAAACGAGTATGAACTACTTATGCCACCGATCTGTTTACGCTGTAAAATTGAACCAAAAATTCTCATCTGGAAATGTTAAAATTTTATTTCGCATTCGAGAAACGTCAGTCTTTCTGACTCTGGAATCACATGAAGTACCCACGCTGTGTTCGTTATATGGTTAAATAAGTATTTGTGAATTTGGTACAGTAGAAATAAATAGCTCTGTTCATTTGTCAAGTTCCTGTACGTACCAAGTCCGCTCAATTTTCCAAGAATAACAGCAGAAACCTCCGTCAGTAAATCTCTGAGATTTTCGGATCCATCAATCAAACAATCCATCTGTCGGAGTACAGTTAGAGGTGCTCCAGTAAAGTAAGAGTCGATAGATCTTCAAACTAAGTCGATAAAAATACGATTTCACGACGAAGCATTCTATTCACGTAGCGAAATGAGTTCTCCTCATTTGTGCATTTTCGTATCCGAACATGTACTCATTATGGGGTTAAAAATAAATAACTTGTGTCACACATGGCCACGTGGGCAGTAAGCACACAACGGGTTGTTTAAACAGTTTTTTTAAAATAGCGTTTCTTCTGATTTGACTGTGATTTATTAAGTGATTTCCTTTTTCCTCATTTAAATCTAACATGGATCGCTCAATGATTCAGCTACTTGTTACGGCCGTGTTTTCTGTACAACTGATCTGTCTTTTAATTTTCGCTGTGTACCAACAGGTCAAGAAATCATCGTGGGCACTTCTAGGCATACTAACGAAGCCGGAGCTCAGGCGGTCGCCAGGGCGTTTCCCGAATACGCCACATCAATGATTCAGGTCCGCTCACCATTCCTATCGTTGAAAGATGCTGTCGGTGTTGCGGGCATCAACGTTTTGGCGGTTGGTGAAAGTGAAGCCGCGCAGAAAATGTTAAAGGTATTTTATCAAAACGTTTTTCGGTTGTATACGAAAGAATTTTGTCGTAGCCTATTACTACGCGGTGTAGTTTTGCCGTCGTTTTATCACTGGCCATGGCGGGCAAGCATGCCAATGGTTTTCGCAACCCCATATGGGTTATTCGCTCCACAAGACGCATAATCCTGCTCACTCTGGTTGCACACTTTCAGCGTGTCTTGTATGCATGCACGTCTATCCTGTCCACCAGTGGTGCGCGCCTTGTCTTGGACTGATTAAAACTTCGATCGGAAATTGTTCTCGCGTGTTTGACTGTCATATTTGGCACCTTTTTTCTCGTTCGTGCAATTTAATTTTCTACATGAATAGAGACATATCACTCTAAAAAATCAATGAGCACAACTGTTCAGTGACGTAATACAAAATTCAGTCTAGTGGCTTTTAATTCACTGACAACAGGAGCAAAAGAAACAGTTAATTCTTTATCACTTTGGTAACTAATAACTGCATTGGGTTACATTATTAAGGAAAAGCGAGTTTAATTATGAATAAGCTTATATGATTTGTTTCACTTAGTGTATTTGTTCCATTTATCAATCGTGACTTTAATTCGATATTGTATTGGTGGGTTAGAAGCTACTAACCGCAATGGATGCAACTTACGCGTCTTTTGGGACCATTTAACACTTAGATTACAATATGAAGAAAACTCACATCCTGGGTACATGTGTACGAATGACATGAGGGGATAATTCAGTTCAGTTCTTACACCATTAACCATGCACTTTCGTGCATATCTGACAAGCAGCAATAACCGCGAAACCGGTCGTGTGCTTTGGGGGAAATTTTGTCGATTCAGATTCTGCTCATTGGAAAATAACCTAAGGGCACTCAAATATCGTTTGTTGCACCCTGCCGTACTTAATATTGAATCGTGGTTGGGGCATGTTTTGCGTATGTCACAAAATAGATTGCCGAATACGCACTGTTTGCCGAGGCAGGTAATGGGTGGGAAAAAATAAAGGGTGATCAAACTAATACATGACATGATGGTATGAAAACCCTGACCCAGAAACTTGCTCACACAAGTCGCGTTAGGCTTCCTGGATAGGGACCACGGGATCATTGTGGTTAATGGTTAGAGATACTGAGTGTCGTAAACAGTGGCGCTTTTGAATTTCAGTTTACTTAGAGTCATTGTCTTCATGAGTTCTCTATTTTGACTCTGACACCGATTGGTGCATTCCAATCTTCCCTTTACTCTGGCATCCAAATGGACAGTCATGGGACATCAACCAAAACCACCGCATGAAAGTGAATGGTCAATGGTTNGGTTGTAAAAACGGAAACCGAAACACAAACTCTGTGTGCGCAAAACTTGTTGACTCGACAGTCATTTGTCTTAATACTATTCAACCACGTACAACCAGTTGGTTGCACAGTTTGCCCGTGCTGCTTACAGAGAATTACTATTTACCTTTGTCTTGTGTCATAATAAGATAGAATGATAAGTACACACCCGAAATGCCGGTCTCTTGCACTGCGTGCGTTCTCTTTGTGAACAAATTTATTCTCACTGAAACCACCACAGATTCCGATGCCCCAAGGATCTCGTCCTAGGGCGTGTTGAGAAAAATGTGCTGTCATTAAGTGTTGTTGCATTTTACATGACGTATCCTTCAGGTGCTGTTTTGTGATCAAACATTGAACCATATTGTCGAAAAGTTGTCGTCTTATTATCGTTCGATCAACTCTAGCTTTGGTGGGCTCCGGTTTTCACGATCCCGTCGTCTACGCTTGATCTCTATATAACGTTTTGACTCACCCTGCACTCAATTGAGCCAAATGCGTTTTTGCATTCAACTGTCCATTTTCCGTAATTCATGTCAGGACATCCGCAAGGTGGCCTCGTACACGTACAAGGTGATCACACTCCCCGAAGATCACGCCGCGAACCTGTTGTATGTGAATCATTATCTGATGCACTGGTCACCCGAAATGATTCCAAACAGCATTGGAGTAAGTGTTCCATTCGGTGTCTTATTGATTGCCCGCTTTGTTCATTATATGCGAGTACTGTAGCAAAGTACATTTTGGGCAGCCAAAATCGAGTGCACCGCATGCGTCATTCGTTCGTTCGTTCGAGAGAAAAAAATTCACACGGCACTGTTTCGTGATTCCTCGCCAACTCATTTGTCTTCAGCCTTTTTTTTCTGCACCCACGCATACACACAAACACACGAAAAACAGCTAAACTGTTGGAATCGCGACGCCAACTTGAAAATGGTGAAATGAACGTTTTATTCCTTTTCACAAAATGTGACCTGCATAAATGCTTACAATGCCGATTGTTCCACCAAATCGACATTTTACTGTTCCTGTGGATGATTTGTTGTCTGTTTATACTGGTCTGCAAGTGATGATTTCTTGCTCGTCGACCTCAGAGCTGATTCGGCGAGTTTCGTTGCCTTAGTTTCGATCCAGTAATCCGTGATATGTTAAACTGTTGGCAAGAAAATACCTGGGGTTTGACCTACCTTTATTGCCAAGTGATATTTTTCGGTCCCGATTGATTTCATTTGTGTCGTCGGCACGATATTGAGCGATCGGGGTCTGCATGTATTGACACGTCAGTATCTGCAAGACCCCCCAAATTATTAGATTCTAGAAGGTTTGATTTGATACTTGTGTTCTCAACTAACGGTATTTCGGTAATTCATTGATTGTTTGGGAGCTTGTAACTAACAATGATAAAACCGGAATTTCGACGTGATCCATTTAGAATGTGAATATTTTGGAGTCACAGGAAAAAACA